CAGTTACCTTTAAAAGACTGAAAGACTTTATTTTAAAAATAATTGATTCAATATTTACAGTATAGTTTGTATCATTTATTTTCTTTTAGATAAACCATTTATTAGAAATACATCTAGACTTTTTTCAACATTTTATTTAAATTACTTGTCAATTTAATATGTTACTCCTTAATAATGAATTTTCAAAATGCTTTATTAAAAGGAGAGAAATGATTTAAATTAAGTCCACAAAAAATGGAAATATGTCTAGATTTCATTTGGTATGTTCTGATTTCCTAAGGATCTATGTATTACACTGTAAACTGTAATGAGCAGACAATTGACTTACGCAGCCTGTGTGTGCAAGTGGCTTCTCTGGAAGATTGGAGATCTGGAGAAGCAAATTGCAACACTGAGGGAGATCGACAATCTTGAGAGGGGTCTGCTGCTCACTGGGAAGAGGAAAGGGCCAGCTAGTCCTAGCAGATTTGCCTGTTTGAGTGGAAGTGTTATGGGTAAATATCTGCTTGGGGCAAAAGAAGGGTAATCAGTTATTGTTTTGGATATATTATAAAGGACCTAATGTTAAGATTGATGAGGAACAACAGCTTTTTGAGTAAAATGAGGAAGTTGAAAATCTGGGTAACACGTTAACTATTGGAGATTTTAATTACCCAGACATAAATTGGGACAGAGTAGTTCAGGGAAATTAGGCTTTGAACTTGTGAAATTACACCCTAATGTCACAACTTGTACAAGTAACAACTAGAAAGGACACTTGTCTGGACTTGGTTCTAACAAACAATGTTGTTGTTTTGACCAACAGTCAAGTAGGTGAGCACTTGGGAAATAGTGATCATAACATAGTGTCCTTTGAAATAAACTCAAAAAAGCAAAAGCACAGTAAGCAAAGTATACTAAAACATAATTTTAAAAAGGCCAATTTCAATAAGTTAAGGGCAACCTTACAATATGTTGACTGGCATAAACTCTTAAGTGGAAAAAAACACTAAGGATAAATGGAATATCTAAACAAATATTAAAAAGTCACATTTCTCAGTTTGTATCATTGGGTAATAAATATAAAAGAAACAAATTGAAACCAATGGGGCTTAATGGGAAAGTGAATCAAGCATTTAAAGCCTTTAAATCACCAGAGGCATCCTATAAAAGATATAAGGAAGCCAATAACGCGTGCGATTAGATTCCCTAAACTACAAAATGAGAAAGTGATAGCCAATGAGAACAAAACCAACCCTAAAGCATTTTTTAAGTATACACATTCTAAAAAACTAAAAAATTAAAGTGTAGTTACACTAAAAACTGGGATTGAAGCTACCCTTGTTCCTCCATAGTCCATATCCACCCGCCCCACACCAGCCAAAATACGTTCACTACAAACAATCTATTCACTCAAAATTAAAAGAAAGGGGAATGATTTCTCCCCCCCCAAAAAAATATATATATCAAAGTACAAGGGTAGCTAGTAGGGTATAATGTCTAAAATAAAGATTGCTAAATCGTCCCTATGCAGCCCCCTCCCCCCCGTGTAATAAAGTCCCGACGCGCGTTTCGCCTTACAGGCTCTTCCAGGGGAACAGATCTATTGGTCGGCGGTCATTTAAATATACCGCCCTCTTCAGTGATTGGATAAGGTCCTCTCCAATCAGAAACTGGGGGTGGAGCCTAGTGCCGTTGCCGTACAGCCCGAAATGGCTTGGCAACTGAAACAATAATAGCAAATGTTGCTAATGTTTAATATTGAGACTCAATAATGTCAGTCACTGCAGAATAAACGCAGAGGGTGAAAGGAGGGATTAGGAAAGATTGCGCATACAAGATGTATTGTGTAGCAAATAAAACCAAAAGTAATTCACAATCAGAGTCAAAATTAATATCAATAAATCTTAAAGGTGTAGTTCCATCCCTGTGAGAGTGGAACGTAATAGAATTAATGCTCTGATTCAGAAAAAGTAGAACCCTTAGAAGGTTACAGTTCTTGGTGCTGGGCAGATAGGCTCCAGCTCAACAATATGCGTGGCCCAAACATGCTGAAAAAAAATTGTTATAAAAAATACAACAAGTATCAAATGAAATTGCTGTCTTCAAAATATCAAGATAAATGTATATGAAATGTACTGGGCACTCCAGATGGAGATATGTCAATATAATACGTGGAGGAAGGTAAACTGGATTGGTGTTAGTTTCCCAAAAGTGTTACCATGGAAACTATTACCAACTATGAATGTATAAATGGAGTAAAATTAAACTCCTCATTAAGTCCTTTCGGGTATAGGGTTTGGAACAAGTAAATCCAACGAGATTCTGCCTTTAGTAAAGAGACATTAATGTCACCCTTTCTGTGGTTTTGAAAGATCTTTTCAATTACTTGTAACTTGAGTGCATTGGGTCTAGAGGCGTGATTGGCACATACGTGTCTAGCTATTGGTGTATTGATATGTACATTCAATATAGAGTTAATGTGTTGTAAGACACGTCGGCGTAGTTGTTGATAGGTTTTACCTATATACTGTAAACCGCATTCACAAGTTATAAGGTGTAATGGTATTTATTAATTAATGACTTTACATCATAAAGAAAGCATATTTAGTGTAATGCTTTGGGGGCACCACTAGGGGGAGTGTGTAGGAAGACATGTGCTTCTGGCAGTGACATCACAGGCCAGCCTACTTACACTGAATAAAACCAGATGGAGGAGAAAACTCTGTCTCTCTTTGTCTCTTTGCCTGTACCTGAAAGATGTAGTAGCAGCTCTGACTTAACCCCAGCCAAAGGGCTGGGGCCTTGTAAGTAAAATGTTGTGTAACATGTAGCAACCTTTTGTAAGTAATATGTTGTAGTTTTGTATTGTATCATAATTGTAGTAAATTGACATTCTGCTAGCATCTGTTTATTTATTATAGTTATATTAAATATACATTTAATATTACAACGTTTTGTGTATTTTCTATCCACATATTCAACCATAATACCATGAATTATAAAAATATTAATGTTGTTCCGTATTGCTTAATTATTATGTATTAAGAGATTAATATTCATATTTAGGTCACGCCCACAACATTTGGCGTAGTCGGCAGGATTATGCTTGAATATTGGGGAAAATATAAATGTTATGCATTTTGCTTAAATCATACTGTAAATTGTCTGTCTGTATACAAATGAATAAATGAATGATGATTTGGTTTTAATGGAATGAATGCAGATAGCAGATAGGGCTTATATTTGTTTTTTAAGGTATCTCTTGTTGTAGAACATAGTGATGAATTATTGTGTTGCTTGTTACGTTTTACCAACCTTTGGTCATTTTTATATATAAAACAAAAAACTATTTTACTTTTTGTCTGACCATGTGGATTTTAATCCACCATTGACCACATGGTGTGAATGAGTTGAGGCCTAGTTTCATTGTTTGCTACCATTTGCATAGGAAAAGACTTTTCACTAAACTAGTTCACCAGGTTTTATTGCTAAATTTGACCCTGTTTGTGTACTAATTTACATTTGTTTGGCATTCATGGATTTGTCTAGTAAATTATTAGTTAAGAAAAAGATACGTTTAGTAAAGCAGATTCAGTGAATAATAGATTTATGTGTGCGTATACACAGAATATTAGTATAAATATATATATGATTTTGACTCATGAAGGAGAGACCACCTTTTTAACAGCTGTGTGACCATGCTTTTCAGCTACAGCTGGGGGAGAATTTGTCCTTGTTGGGGGTGGGTAGTCTTGCTGTATGAGAAAAAATAAACTGCATTGTTTTGTAAATGTAATTGCCTAAACTAATCAATTTGTGGAGTGTTTTTCAGCTTTATTATCCAGGACTAAGGAATTACTGGACATATGCAGGAACTGGTAACAAATGAACTGAAAAATGGTAAAATAATTCCTTTGTCCTATTTAGTCTGAATATTTTAACAAGTTAGCATTTTTAACAAAGTAAGTGTAGGGGCTCAGATTAAGATTTATATTATTTTAGAAGCCATCTATAACTGATTTTAATATTTCCATGCTTTGAATTAGGGTGTATCTGCCTAGCGGGTGAACCTCCATAACGTGGGCTGTGATTTTAGTTACAGTAGCGGGTGGGGAACCTGAGCTAGGGGTATTTAAACGTGTCCGGATAAGGGGGAGCATACCCAATAGTTGTTGTGCAGTTCTATCCTGTATTATTATTTGAAACCCTGTATTACTTATAAGTAGCGTTTTGTAACTTATTTGTAATTGTTTATATATATATTGCTCTGGGAAAGGGATAGGCAAAATCTCTGAGAGACCAGGAAATATATTTTAAAAAAGGGCGTATTACACTAGTGGTAGGGTGGCCTATCATGACCATAGAGACCCTTGGTGACTAGTTTTTGTTGTATATTGCCCTGGGAAGGGGATACGTTATTTAATAGAAATTCCTGAGAGACCAGGAAATATACAATAAGTGATACGTGAGTGTACTGGTTAAATTGCAGACATATTGGCCCAGAACCTTTAATCGAGCCGGAAAAGAGGCTGCTGTATGTTTGCTCCTCTATAATTTTGCGGGGGCGGTCACCCCCATGCGGAAAGCCACTGCTATCACAGGGTGGTTAGTTGTGCAGGCCCTTAGCCGCGAGGTGCAAGCATGTCCGTGGAAAGGCTAGAAATTAATAGGGAGTCACTCATAGCTGTCAGAAGTGTTGAACTTTGAGACATATTGACCTATATCCTTTCAGAGGCGGAAGAGGTGTTGTGGTTCACTCCTCTATAATTTAACCAAAGGGTGGAGAGTTATTAAACATGTTTAGGTTGCCTAGAAATGTGTTTCCTGAATTGCAGAGAAGATGCAGAAAGCAGCTATTAGCTGATTGTTTATTTTAAGAGCCAAGTAGAAAATTAAGAAAGTTACCTTGTTGAACAAATTGTTTATAAAATGAAAAGTTTAGGGAATGTATTTATATGTGTATATATGTATATATGCTAAGTAAAGGATTTGGCGGTATACGCTATAAGTGACTAGGAAAGTAATCCTGATCTGTTTTCTTACCTTTTTCAGATATAGCAGAAACCTGTGGACATTGGAACACAGATAGAATATCAGATGGAGACCAGTGTTTAAATGTTGACCTTTGATGAGCTATTGAATGTTTTATTTTATTGTCTATTTAACATGTCTATGCTATGATTTTGTGCATACTATTCTCTTATTTCTAGTGATTGTATTGCAATTGAAACCCTTATGTATTATTATTGTTGTATGTATGTATGTATGCTTGCCTGGGAAAGGGGGGAATTGACCCATAGGGACCAGGGGGTATTTTTGTGTAAACCAAACTGGGGTGGGAGGGCTCTAACGAGGGAACCCCATTGTCCAGTAGGTGTTTGATTTGTGTCTGTGTAAAGTGCATGAGTGGTTGCAGTTCAAAAAAAAAAAAAAAAAAAAAAAATAAGAGGGATAAGAGAAAGTAGGCATTTTGGGTTATCTATACATGTTTAAATAGAAGGGTGGTAAATAGGAATGTAATTGTTTTGGTTAATGTTTAGATTAAATTGGTTAAATACAGCAGTGATAACGAGTGTTTAGATTAAATTGGTAAATGCAGCAGTAATAACGATTGTTTGGGTTAAATTGGTAGATACAGCAGTGATATTGTGTTTATCTGTGAATCAGGAGTGTGCTGGATGTGAAGAGAGGTGTGTAGGTATTTATCCAAACGCCATAGGAAAAAATATGGTTAAGACACCACAATCAAATGGTACTTGTGATGATTGGCACAGTTATTATTTATGTTTGTGTTCGTCATTGCCTGTGTTTTCATTCAAGAACTTTCAAGCAAGGATATTTTAAGCAGAAGAAGAAGCACTGGACACTATGCTCAACTGTTGCTGTAAGGAGAAAAAATATTGAAGCTAAGAGTGGTGAGAGTCGGAACAAATGCATCAGGAGCAGGACACTGTTACGTCAAGGTGGTTAATGGTATAAAGAAAGAAAAAACAAAACAATGTGACCACAAACACACAAAAGTCCTTGATCACATGAACTGTTTCATTCATCCCTGTCTCCATGCGTATGTTCTATGAGACTGTCGAAGAATAGAGTATCCAGTTTCCAGGACTAATGTTTGTGAAAATTCCAGGCACACAGACCAGCCAGAGGCTACAGAAATCGAGTCGGTCTGTGCCATGATTCATAGGTGTTATGAGTTTGTGGTGTCTAATACTATATTAAGCTCCAAAACACATCCTCACATGAACACAATATCATTGGTTAATCTAATAAAACATGGTTTGAGTTGTTCATTATTATAAGGGTGGGTATGTGCCTATTTCCCAACTGGTAATGCATGTGCTCAATGGTGAACATTTATATAAGCAATAAAATGTTAATGGGTAATAATTAATGGGTAAATGGGTATCGTTCTTCAAAAGGTGGGTTTTGTTGTAGGGCAGGTAGTGTTAAAATGGGGAAGATTCACAATTTACTGGTTTTATAAATGCTTGTTTTATGACATAAGTCAAAGGGTGGTTTGTAATGGTATTTATTAATTAATGACTTTACATCATAAAGAAAGCATATTTAGTGTAATGCTTTGGGGGCACCACTAGGGGGAGTGTGTAGGAAGACATGTGCTTCTGGCAGTGACATCACAGGCCAGCCTACTTACACTGAATAAAACCAGATGGAGGAGAAAACTCTGTCTCTTTGTCTCTTTGCCTGTACCTGAAAGATGTAGTAGCAGCTCTGACTTAACCCCAGCCAAAGGGCTGGGGCCTTGTAAGTAAAATGTTGTGTAACATGTAGCAACCTTTTGTAAGTATTATGTAGTTTTGTATTGTATCATAATTGTAGTAAATTGACATTCTGCTAGCATCTGTTTATTTGTTATAGTTATATTAAATATACATTTAATATTACAACGTTTTGTGTATTTTCTATCCACATATTCGACCATAATACCATGAATTATAAAAATATTAATGTTGTTCCGTATTGCTTAATTATTATGTATTAAGAGATTAATATTCATATTTAGGTCACACCACAACAGACAGCTATTGCTGTTCAGTTGCTGGTAAGTTGTTAATAACACCTACCCCGTGCAACACTGTATTACAATATCCCAATGCTGGTTTTTGGCTTTGTCATCTTATCATTGAGTATAGTTAGCTTATATATCTAATGTAACAAGACTAATAACAAGTCATGGGAAACAACACTTTAATAACCCTTTCAGTAGCCAATGGGCTGTACTCTTCTGTGCTGGGGCAAAATAAATAATATAAATGCACTGAAGAGAAGAACATATTTATATGCATTTCAAAATAATATTCACAGAGACTTTAATTTATGGCATACATCTGGCACTTAAATGGATAGTTTAAAGTGTAGCTTAATGAAGCAGCTTTGGGTATGGCTCATGCCCTTGCAGTCTTACTGCACAACTCTCTGCATCCAGGGGTTAAATCACTTTGTATATGCATCCCAAGCCATACCTTACAAGGATGTGACTCTTGCAGCCTCTATGGCTCAGAAGGGCTTTATTTAAAAAAAAAAAAAACACACAACACAGTATGTTTATTTTTGAAGTCTTTTATCTTCTTGTCTGTTAATTAATCTTTAACCACACGCAGGGGCTGCTGTAGGATCCAGCAGTCAACTGTAAGGGCAGGAGATAAATTCTAGATTAAACCCCACTGTGCAATAAGGGAAGTTGAAACATGCCCTTTTTTAATATGGGGATAGCTCACAGCTATACAAAGTTATTTTATACAACAAAGCCATTGTATTAAGCTAAAGTTGTTTTGGTGCTTATAGTGTCCCTTTAGGATAGTAAATAATATTACCGTGTTGAATTTAATTAATACAACTGATTTCTGCATATTTTAGCACTATATTTTGATGCTTTTAAGACTCATTAAGATTTCATGGAATGCACTGCAAATGTACCAAGAAAAATTAAAATCTAATTGTCTTTTGGGGATCTTTCACAGTTATTATTTTACTGTTTCTCCTTATGAGTTGGAGAAAATATCCATCCCTTGAGAGGAACGATGCTGGATATTTATCAAAGTCTTCTGAAATGTGACTGTTATATTCCATAATTATTGTGATCAGATTTTTCAAAGTGTTCAAAAAGTCATATAAAAAATGACGGTTTTCTTTAAAGAAAATTATTCCAGATTTTGCTGAAATTTCCACTTCAAAAGAAAATTTTGAGTGAAGGAAAAAAAACATACATAAAACCGAACACATTTTTGTTGGAAAAAGTAGCAGAAAGATTGATGAATCTATTGAGTTACTGACATAATTCTACATATTCAAAAATGCACAAGACAAAAAAGAAAATAGCAAATGTAACATTGTGTCAATGAAATGCCAGAATTTAAATGTAAAAATGGCACTGACACTTTGCGAAACCACCCCCACTATATTTAAAATAGTTAATTTAAGTACAAGCTTCTAGTGTTCAACTATTCAAATTCTACAACAGAAAATTGAATATTGAATATTTACAATAAACACGTAATGTCTTCACCTCTTTTTTTATGCACCAAACATTTTAAACTGTTGTTACAGAAATAGTTTATGAATACTCATCTTTTATAAGTTTTCTCTTCCATGTATAGGCAAAGTGACAGGTAGGCATATTTCATCGTAAGTAGACAGTCTAACTAAGGATTGAGCTGTGCATGGGGCAAATATTAATGAAGTGCAAAAATCTAGGCGTTAATATATGGTTAATTTATTTTTTACATTTAGGACTTGTAGTAGTTTCTTATGCAAAAAGAGAGTTGTTAGATTATTTCACATGTGAGGGAATATATTCACAAATAGAACCTTTTCATTAAACTGACTTATCACACATTGAAAATACACAGTAATGTACTTTTTTAACATGCCTTTTTGAGGTAGTGATATTTACCATTACCATTTACATTTGTATTCATTATTTATCACAGCAGCACAGTTGGTTTTGCTATCTTGGTTATGGATGATTAAGACCAGGGCCGGCGCTACCTGTAAGGCGACCTAGGCAGCCGCCTAGGGCACACCTTAGCAGGGGGCGCCGGATCCCTGCGCCCGGCGGCTCCTCATGCTGCGCCGCCTGAGCACTTTTACAAGCCTCAGATGGCGCAGCACTGCTGTGGAGGGCGGCTGGATTTGAGTGACGGGCAGGAGGGAAGCGCAGAGCGCTCCCTCCCGCCGGTCTCTCAATGTAGCGTGGCCGGGCGGCGCAAAACGCGGGACAGGAACCTCTGTTTCCTGTACCCGGCCGCCGGCGGACTGACAGGAAGTGCTCACTGAGTTTCTGTCCCGTGTTCTGTGCCGCCCGGCCACGCTACATACGGGAGGAAAGAGGAGGTACCACCAGGGGTACCAGGACCACCAGGGTAGGGGAGGGTGGGAATAGGTAAGGACCACAGGGGGAGGTAAGGACCACAGGGGGAGGGGGATAGGTAAGGACCACAGGGGGAGGGGGGAGGGGGATGAGGCCACAGGAGGGGATAGGCCAAGGACCACAGGGGAGGGATAGGTAGGACCACAGGAGGAGGTAAGGACCACAGGGGGCGGGGGGGAAGGCAAGGACTAGGGAGGAAGGGTGAGCAAGGACCACAGGGAGTGGGGGCTTGGGGGTTGTGGGCAGGGACCACAGGGGGAGGGAGTAGGCAAGACCACCACGGAAGGGGTTATGGACCACCAGGGGAGGGTATGGACCACTAGGGGAGGGGGGAGGTAAGGGCTAGGAGGGGAGGGGGGAGGTAAGGTCCACCAGGGAAGGGGTGGTAAGGACCACCAGGGAAGGGGGGTATGGACCACAAGGGGAGGGGAGGGGGGTAGGTAAGGGCCACTCTTTTACACTACACACATACACAATGCACCCCCCCCACAAACACACACACAGAAACATACAATGCATTCCTACTCACACACAGACACACCCGAAACACACAATGCATCCCTTACGTTCACACAAACTCATTCTCTTACACACAGAAACAAAATGCATCTCTTACATAATCAATGCACCCCTTACAGACACACACTGCATTCAATTAAATACACAGAAACACACCTTGCACCCCTTACACACACAAACACCCAGAAACAAACAATGCATTCCTTACACGCAAACACACACTGCATCCCCTATAAACACACTACATCCCTTACAGAAATTGGTATCCCTATACACTACATTCTATAAGAACACGCACACGTTGCATCCTCTACAATAACACATAAAACATCACATACACTCCACTTCCTGTGAGAGAACTCACGGGTGGGCCATGTAGGTGGATTTATGGGTGGGCATTGTAGGCATACTCACGGTCAAGCCCTGGGGGCCCAGAGCTTGAGCTGTGTAAGGGGCCCTAAAAATTGGAGCTGCTTCCTGTTCGTTAATTGTTGTGAGCACTGTTACAAACAGTCTCCAGAGAGCCTCTTCTACACCAGACCTGTGGAGCCAGACAGAGCCCATCATCAGCCTCTTGTCCTCATCTGGTGGTAAGTAGGCAATCCAATATATTATTAGTGGCACTAATCTCTACTTTACCTCACATTAAATGGATACTATAGTCACCAGAAGCACTACAGCATAATGTAGTGGTTCTGGTGTCTATAGCCTGTGCCTGTAGGCTTTTTAATGTAAACACACTGTCTTTTCAGATAAAAGACACTTTGTGAAGAATGGCGTTGGCCCATATGGCAGAGCATATGGGCGGGGCTTTGTGATGTCACATGGTGGGCAGGACATATGGGGGGGGAGCAAAATATTTTTTGCCTAGGGCGGCAAAATTCCTTGCACCGGCCCTGATTAAGACACAAGTAAAGAAAAATAGACATAGCATTTGTTATTGCATATATTTTCACACACTGATTATTTTTTTACGACTGTTTTATTTCAGTTTTTCAGTATTTTATTTTTAATGAGAATCACATGTTTATATCCCAACATTTTTACTAGTGTTGTTCAATATGTAGTCAGCAATATGTTCCAGCCACTTGACCTGTCATTCAGTTTCAGGTAAACATAGAAACATAGAAACATAGAATGTGATTGCAGATAAGAACCATTCGGCCCATCTAGTCTATACAATTTTCTAAATACTTTCATTAGTCCCTGGCCTTATCTTATAGTTAGGATAGCCCTATGCCTATCCCACGCATGCTTAAACTCCTTTACTGTGTTAACCTCTACCACTTCAGCTGGCAGGCTATTCCATGCATCCACTACCCTCTCAGTAAAGTAATACTTCCTGATATTATTTTTAAACCTTTGTCCCTCTAATTTAAGACTATGTCCTCTTGTTGTGGTAGTTTTTCTTCTTTTAAATATAGTCTCCTCCTTTACTGAATTGCGATTCATCCAAATTATGAGCCAACTCAATTTTGACTCTCTCTATTTTGACTAATCTTGAAACAAATGAAGCAAAAAATAAGTGAGTTGTTATGTGTTTCATGATTTCAAGTTGAATTTGTAGTGCCAAAATTTTATAAATAAAATCTAACAATATGGATTTTGTTTCCTTATCCTCCTTTGTTTCTCTTAATTAGTTACTTCTTCCAGATCTTCCCAAAAAAATCATGTGGACGAGATTTTGTGTAAGCTGAAACTTCACATGTTGAAACCTGAATCGTCTAAAATGAAATTTTTATTCAGAAAAAAAACAAATTTTTCCATTGTGTGCAAGTCTAACATTGACTGTTTTGTATATTGTTTGAAATTTTGTTTTCATAGACATGCATTATTTTCTTATTTGTTCTAATACATTTATCTTGCACTGCTTTCAATCAAATTCCAGTTTATTTTCTTTTTATTTAATGGAAAAATTACTCATCAACAGATGTTTTTCAAGCACAGTACTAATTTAAGATTGAAATCACCATACAGCTGAAAGTTTCTGCCTCAGTTATTGTCTGCTTTTATCCATGACTAGTCAAGTAATTCAAGAGTTTGTTTATCAGATTAAACTTTAGTAGAGAGTCAAAGATCAAGCCCGTTCTTCATCATACAATTTATTTCCATTAGTGGGAGACTTGGGGGTTAATCATATCAGCCTAAGCACAAACACTCAGGACTGGATAAAATAGGACATTTCAAACTGATGGCATTTGAAATAATTGTAAAATTTGAAACCTGAGATAACCTGGGATGTAAGAACCAAACACTTCACAAATAATTGGTTATTTCAACTGCTCAACCGAGCAACAGATATTTACAGTTCAGTAAAGGATTTTAAAAGCTTAATTTCATAAAAATGTTAATTCTTTTACATGTGTAAAAATAATGAACAGTTAGAATTTCTTAGATTTTATATTAAAACAGATGCATCCAGTGCTTATAAACAGCTCAATATCTTTCAGTAAACCAAGATGTTGAGTCCAACGAAGAGGATGGAAGTACAGATACAGAATCTTGATCAGGTTTCAAGTAGCTACACAAGCAAACAGGGAATATGAAATAAAATGTTTTATGTTTTATGGTTTATATTAAGCTGCTGTGAAATTCTTACCTGTTTGCGTGCATGATTTACATTTTGTCCAATGACTGTAATAGAGTGCTACATGCTGTGTATAGAATATTAACGGTCAACCTGATTGCCTCTCACATTCCTGGAAAGGGGATGAGGGAGACATAAGACATTTGGAGACGTAAAAACCTCTTTTCCTGGCTAATCATGGCAGCATATACAACATGGGTTAGCTCCACCCCTTACAGCCGATAGGACAGGAAAAACACAAAAGGCTTTAAAAGGAGGCTCCATTCCTCAATCCTTCTCTTGTCCTACAGCCCTTAGGATGTGAGCAAGTTGCTCCATTTACTTATGGACATGTATGTTTTTTTTCTTCATTTCTTTACTTGTTATTTTAGGGTGCCTTTTATATTAGGGTGCCTTTATACTGTGGTCCATTATGTAGTTGTGCTTTTATACTGTGATGCATTTAATATATGATGCATTTAAACTCTGATGCATTTAATCTGTGATGTCTTTAAACTGTGGTGCATTATGCAGTTGTACTTTTATACTGTGAGGCATTTAATCTGTGAGGCATTTAAACTTTAATGCATTCAAACTGATGAATTTAAGCTGTGAGGTATTTAAACTGTGAGGCATTTAAACTTTAATGCATTTAAACTGTGAGGCATTTAAATCCGTGTTGCATTTACATCTGTGGGGCTTTTATGCTGTAATGCCTTTACACTATGATGCCTTTAAACTGTGGTACATTATGCAGCTGTGCCTTAGGCTGTGATGCCGTTTATACTATGAGGGCTTTCTACTGTGGTGCCTTTAAACTTTGACTTTTGCACCTTGTTGCCTTTTTTTTTTTTTTAGTTCTTTATTTTAAGGTGCATGTTTATATTTCTTGCATTACAGTGACAGAGGTGGTATAAAATACAGAAGAGAAGAGAGGTTTTTAGCATGTCACACAAGTCTGCACACAATTTTAGCTTTTTTCTAACAGGTTGCTTTACAGTTGTGGTCTCTAGTTTCAACTAGCGCACCCATGCTGTTAGCCTAATTGTGTTTTTGGTCTTTCTAGGTAGCCAGGTGTATTGCAAAGCTTGTTTGTTGTGGTTTTTGTTACGAGCGGGGTAACTGTAGCAGTTGTGTGTTTTAAGTAGCAATGGGTAGCTATGTGAAGTGTGTTATGGTGTTCTGTTGCGTGTTGGTGGTTGCCCCTAACCAACGTGGTAGCGGGGGGGTGGGGTATTGTGTTGTACTCTACGTTTGTGGTTCCCTGCCACCTCCACTCTGCCTGCCCCCAAATCTGGTGTAGGCAGAGCAGAGGATGTGTGTGTTTGTGTCCCCTCTGAGGTTATGTGTTGGCTGTTGAGCCTGACTTAACTTTGAAAACATATACCGACGAACAAGTGAAAGCACGTGGAAACCATAAAAAAAAAAAAAAAAAAAGATTAAAACATGCAAACAATTATTTCCATGTTTAACTATTTCCATGTTGGATGTGGCTGTGTCCCTTTTGACCAGCTGAGGGGTATAGTTTTTCATCAGGGAGTTGTGTGTGTACTCCCCGAGGGTCGAGGTATGAATGAGATCACCGTAGCAGGGTCCCCCATCTGAGATGGGCCAATCATGCCCATATTCCTGTGTGTCCGTGAGTGCTAATGACGCTAGTATTGCAGGGATTTCTGTATCCGACGTGGCTTTGTAAGTGTTGCCATTGTGCGTGATCGTTATGATCCTAGGTGCCCCCCATCGGTACTGCACTCCCGCTGCTCTCAGGCGGCTGGTTAGGTTGTACATCATTTTTTTCCATTGCAGTGTTGCCCTTGTTAGATCTTGGAAGAAAAGCAGCTGGGCATTTTCGAACATCAGGGGTGTCTTGCCTTTTACTGCCGTCAGTATGTTGATTTTATCCTGTGTCGTAGCACAGCATAGGATGACGTCCCGTGCTCCTGTAGATGGTGAGTTGGGCCCTGTTGGCAGGCGGTATGTGCTTTCTAGTGTGATTTTCTGGGCGGCTTGAGGTGGTAGGATTGTGCTCAAGAGTCTCCTGATGAAGTGAGGTATTTCGGCCTGAGAGATCGCAGTGGGCACCCCCGGAGTTTGATGTGATTGCGGCGCAGACAGTCTCCCTGGGAGGATATCTGCACCGCAAGTGCCTGTTGAGTTGTTTGCATATCTTGTAGGGTTTGTTTGAGGTGGGACATTTCATTTGTCACCTGTGCTACGTTCTCCTCTACTGTATTTACTCTGGCCGTGTTTTGCCGCACCTCTGCCTTTATGGTGCCTATGTCTGTGGCGATTAAGTCCTGGAGTTCCTGCATCCAGTGTTGGAGGTCCTGTTTCGTGGCTAGGTTATGTTCCCCTGTTTCTTTAAGGTTTTCTTGAAGGGTTGGAAGTTTAGCCCTTCGGGACCCTTCCCTTTGTACTGCCTGTGATTGGGCTGGTGGTGTAGGCTGCATCTCGTTTGTTTGTGCTGCCTGTGGTTGGGCTAGTTTTTTAGGCTGTACAAAGGAGAGATTGGGGGCACACCCGTATACATGAAAGGTGCTGCCGCAGTGACCAAAATTCATACAGAAAAACTAGTTACGGCGCACTCAGACTTGTAAATTAATAACTAAGAAGGCTAACGCCTATCTAAGAATAAATATGGGGATTTAGTTCCACCATATGGCCATATGATGTTAAGCCCACTACTACTTCAAAGTACCCCAATATCAGTGGGTCCTACGCTAATAACAAAAATGTGGGAGATAAATTAAATAGTACTAGTGCTAAACATAAGCTACAGTGTATTGAATTCATTTCTTTGTAAGAGCAAAGTGAGTATACAATAGTGATAAAAGCAATTAAAAACAGTGTAACAACTAAACAATTAAAGTGTTGGTGCTTGAATGAGTATACTCACATTTGCAGATAATATCTGTGCTGCATAAAGAAAATAATAAAAGTGACATGACTATAATCCCCATATTTATTCTTAGATAGGCGTTAGCCTTCTTAGTTATTAATTTACAAGTCTGAGTGCGCCGTAACTAGTTTTTCTGTATGAATTTTGGTCACTGCGGCAGCACCTTTCATGTATACGGGTGTGCCCCCAATCTCTCCTTTGTGCAATTATATTTGGAATCCAGACCAGATTCCTTTGGGGTTAAGCACCCCGCCCAGGCCCCCCAGCTTCAGAGACCTCTTTAGAGGTGGCCACAGGTGTGTATAAATAGGAGGAGTTTTATAGTCATGTCACTTTTATTATTTTCTTTATGCAGCACAGATATTATCTGCAAATGTGAGTATACTCATTCAAGCACCAACACTTTAATTGTTTAGTTAAAGTTAGCCTTCTTAGTTATTAATTTACAAGTCTGAGTGCGCCGTAACTAGTTTTTCAGTGTTTTAGGCTGTGTCTCGGTTACTGGGACTGCCTGTGGTTGTGCTGTTGGTATGGGCCGCGTTAGTGCAGAGGAGGTCTCCTCCGCAGGCATCTTGGGTGGTACCTTTCGTTGCAGTAGTTCCCCGATGTCGGGTTGTTCTGCTGGTGAGCTCTGCTGGCCTTTCTGGGAGCGGCGTGTCATTGTTGCTGGGGTATCCACTGGTGTCGTGGTGTTCTCCCCCTCCGCTCTCAGCTCGTTGTATCCCCGGTAGCCGCCGAGGAACGTCTCCAGGGTGTGGAGGGTTGGCTGGCAGTAGGCCCGGGTTTTACGTTTGGCCTTCCCGGTCTTCGGGGCTTGGAAAAAGGGCATCAGTCTACTCCTCTCAGTGCCCCAAGTCGGTCAGTGGTCTTGGTGAGGTTGTTTTATATTTTAGTTTCGGGCTTTTGTCGGTTGATGTTAGTTACAAGCGGGAGCTGGCAGATTGTGCGTCTAGTCGGGATCAGTCCCAGGCACCGCCCCCCCCCCCACCTTGTTGCCTTTTAACCATCATGTAGGCACTTTTACGTTATGTCTTATGTTTCCCCCTCGGTCCCGGTGATTTATCCCCGGTTCCCTGGGTGTTCAGGGGCCACGTATGCTGCAGACTGAGCTCTCTCCCTGGTCTCTAAACAGCAAACACACTTGGAAAAGGCCCGCGCATGTGCAGTTTGTGTCTTAAAGGGCCCAATACAGATGACTTGCATTGTGGGAATGCAAGTTGCGGCAGCCATCTTGGATAAGGGCAATTGCCAGAAAGTACCTAAAATGAAGGGAAAATTACAGTAAACATCCAAAACTTATTTGGTAAGTATTTGCAAGGTCCCCAGACATTGATAAGTGCTGTCTTAAGCCAGTTTCACTGTTTCACTGGTTTCTTAATAGAATTTGACAGTGCACTTTTTTTACTTTAGTACTTTGCCACAGGTAATATTTATTTTAATATTTATTGTTTATCTGATATATGAATCTACACATGCTCTGATTGTGATGGGAATGCTGTGGAAGGTTATGCATTGACTGTCTTTAGAAGGTAACCTCTTGAGCATCACCTTTACCTGCTCAGATGCAGGACATGTTGGCATGGCTTACAAAGGAAGTTGCAAGGTATTGTTTGAATCTACACCATGTTCTGGTTATGAGGGGAAAGCAGTGGAAGGAAAAAAGTTATGCACTGACTGTCTCCAGAAGGTAGCCGCTTCCGTATAAACTATCCCTGCGCAGCCACAAGACATGCCTGCATGGCTTACAAAGGAAGTTCCAAGGTATTTCAGAGGCCTTAGAGGGTAAGAAAGAGGCCAAGCTTTACTCTGTGGAGGAAGGTATTTCCAACCCCTGAACTACATTACCTAAGATACATGCCTATGGATCAAAAGTGGATGCAGATCTGTCCAAATTTATACGACTGCCGATGCAGGATGTCAGCCTGCTGTAGCTTTCACTGCTGTTTCTACAACCATAAAAAGTGTGATTAAAGATCTAAAGGCTACTATAGAGAGAGCTATTAAGAGCCAAGATTGAAGATGCAGTCTGAAGTCTTTAGGTTACAACTGACTTCTTCACAGAAGCTAGATGTAACTACGACCAAATGGCTTTATCTATAGCAACTAGGACAGCATTATGGTCCTAGTTCTGGGATGAGGACTTATCCTCCAAGTCTGCCCTCTACACTATTCTATTTGAAAGGGAGGTGCTGTTTGGGAAAGCTTTGGATAAATCCATTGAAAAGGCGATTGAGGGCTGCAAGGTATTTGTACCTCAGGACCAAAGTTCCAAGGATCCCAACTTCTCCTGGTCAGACAGGAGAACCTCCAGTGACCAGCATTTGTGAAATACTGGAGTTACTGTCCCTGCAGGGAATACTCCAGAGGTAACTCATGGCAGTTGGTAAACCTGCCTTTCGAGGTTCTAATAGAGCTATGAAGCAGTCATTTTGCTCTTCAGCAATGAACGTGTCTCCTCCAGTACTAGGAGCCTAATTTTTTCTGACCAGACATACCTAGGTTCGTCACATTCTGGATACTCAGGTGGTATCCATATTCCAGATTGATATAGACTGGAGTTTTTTCTTTAGACACAGGAGTCTCTAGACCAAGGGTTCTCAACGTTAGTCCTCAGGACCCCCTACCAGTCCAGGATTTGGGGATTACCTGGGTGTGTCTAAGGTGTTTAGAAAAAGAAAAAAAAAACACCTAAGAGTCAATGGTGTTTTTTTCCCCCTTTTTCTAAACACCTTAGACACACCCAGGTAATCCCCAAATCCTGGACCGGTAGGGGGTCCCGAGGACTGGGTTGAGAACCCCTGCTCTAGACCAACAAGTGAATTCAGACAGATGAATCAAAAGGTATAGCACTGAAGTAATATGTGAGAAGCCTTCTGGACGAAGAGGTAATTTCTTTGCTCCCACAACAAGAGCGGTTCCAGGGACAATATTCGCCTCTCTTCTGGTGCTAAAAGAAGAAGCCCCTGGAAGCCTATACTGGACCTAAGAAGGGCCAACAAAAAGGCTGAATGTCAGTCTTCAGGATGGAGACAATCAGATCCATCTCTCAAGCAATTTGGAAGGGTAATTTCCTTATCTCTGTACATCTAAAGGATGCTTACCATCACGTTCCAATAGCCCTAGATCTTCAGCATTATATAAGAAAAGAACTTCCAATTTAGTGCCCTACCATTTGGCCTCAATGCAGCCCCAAGAACCTTATATGTGCTTATAGTGATATTGAGAGTCCAGAACACCACCTGGTTCCATTATCTGTATGATCTACTTCTGGTAGCCTCAGGCACACGGAGGAATATAGTTCTTTCAGAACTCCTGAAGTTTGGCTGCTTGATGAATATCTAGAAAAGCAGTTTTACACCAGCTCAGAGGTTGACATTTCTGGGTGAAATATTCTATGCTCTGCTTTTTTCCTATCTCAGGAACAGTTCCACAGATTGTGGAAGTTTTCTCTTCCAGTTTCTTAATTTTTGTTTGGTAACAGCAAGAAAGTATATGCAACTACTAGGAATCCTGGCTTCCACCATCAGACTTGTCGGATGGGCCCAATGGCATCTCTGGATTCCTCAAGGGTATTTTCTATCTTGGTTTAACAAGAGAAAGATTAATTGGAGCCAGCCACTGACAATGTCCCCATCAGTGGAGTTACACCTTACCTGGTAGCTGAAGAGAGTATATCTCTGGGTTTCCAGTGAACAGAACTTCATTGGTCAATTATAAGCTCGGATTCAAGTTTTCAAAGATTGGTTGCACAGTGTTTGGACCATGTTGCACAATATTACCATTCAATTGTGTGGAATCACAAGTCATTTTCAGGGCTCTTTTTCACTTCAAAGGATTTCTGAAGAACAAGTGGGTCCAAATTTGCTCAAATATCAATGCGACTGTATCCTATATCTATAAAGGTGGATCTCACAGCTACGTATTGATTGAATTACTGCCCATGATGTTCAGGGCACAGAAGAACAACCAGGGGCTCAGAATACAATGGCTGATTACCTGAGCCGAATTACTGTGGACAAGGTGGAATGGAATCCATGTCCCAACATATCCTCAGGGTTGACTTAGATTTGACTGGAATGTACTTGAATGTACACTAGAAACTACCAGATAACAAGCTCAGTGGTGTATCCTGGTTTTGTGCTGCCCTAGGCAGGACAAAACTCAGGCACCCCCCCACGCCACCCCCATTCGCGCAACCGCCACCCAATCTTCCCCCCTGCTCCGCCTTCTAAATACACACACACACATTCACTGACAGATACGCATTCACTAGCTAACAGAAACACACACTCACTAACAGACACACACTCACACACTCACTAACGGACACACACACACTAACAGGCAAACACACACACTAACAGACATCCACACTAACAGACATCCACACTAACAGACACACACACTAACACTAACATACATACACTAACATTAACATACACACTAACACTAACAGACACACACACTAACACTAACATACACACACTAACACTAACAGACACACAAACATACACACTAACAGACACACACACTAACACTAACATACACACACACTAACATACACACACTAACACACACACACTAACAGACGCACACTAACACATACACACACACACTAACATACACACACTAACACTAACAGACACACACTAACCACACACAGACACACACTAACAGACACCACACACACACACTAACACACACACACACTAACATACACACACTAACACTAACATACATACACTAACATACACACTAACACTAACGGACACACACACTAACATACACACACACACTAACACTAACAGACACACACACTAACACTAACACACACTAAACACACACTAACACACACACTAACACTAACATACACACACTTTAACACACTAACAGACACACACTAACACTAACATACACACTAACACTAACACGCATTACACACTAACATACACGCACACTAACACACACACACTAACAGACACACACTAACAGACACACACTAACAGACATCCACACACACACACACTAACATACACACACTAACACACACACACTAACACTAACATACATACACACACTAACATACACACTAACAGACATCCACACACACACTAGCAGACATACACACACTCACAAGTGTTTTTTTTTAATTTTTTTATTTAACCCCCCCCAGCCTCCTTACCTTTGGTAATGCTGGGGGGGTTCTTCCTCTCCCTGGGGTCCAGTGGCTGCAGGGCGGGCGGGCGGCCGCCGAGGGAGCTCTTCCCCTGAGCGCTCTGCTCAGCTCCCTCGCGCGCCGCCAGCAGAGTGAGGCTGGGAGCCGGAATATGACGTCATCAACCCGGCTCCCAGCCTCACTCTGCTGGCGGCGCGCGAGGGAGCTGAGCAGAGCGCTCAGGGGAAGAGCTCCCTCGCCGGCCGCCCGCCCAGCGCTGCAGCCAGTGCCGCCCAGCGCTCAGAATGTCTGTTAGCCGCGAGGCATCTGAAAAATGCCGCCCAAGGCAAATGCCTTGTTTGCCTCGCGGCTAATACGCCCCTGAACAAGCTGCTATATTTAAACCAGTGATCAATAGCTAAGAGGTACTTCAACAATATTGTAATTCTGGGACAATACCCTCACAAGTCAAACTTAGAGGTCAGTTTATAGGGAAAACTGTTGCCTGGATACAATTCTAAAACAATTTCCATATGTCCTTTGCAGACTTTACATGCTGGTAAAACACAGGTGCCAACTGCTGTGGCTTTCTGCAGTGTGCATTCCGGCAAGGAGGGCAGGGTTGAGGAGTGGGTGGAAGATGATGTGGAGGATGATGAGGTCCTAGACCTCACATGGAATCAAGGTCATGTGAGTGACATGTGCAGTTTGGAGGAAGAGGCACCAGCACAGCATAAGAGGGAGCAGGGTGCAAAAGCGGAGCGGCCCTCCCCTAGTGCTCATCGGCATGTATTAGCTCGAGACTTACCAGTTATCCAAGTAATACATGTAGCGATCAAAGGATCCATAATAGAGTTGAGCGAACCCGAACTGCAAAGGGTTCGTACCAGATTTAACGATCCATTCGTAGTTTCACAGTGAGGTGGGCAGTCCGGTGACCAGGACCCAGACACTGTCAGGATGTGACATTCACTGTAGCACCTGTGCGCGCTTTTGGTGTTGTCACCCTGCTGCTGCTCGCCTGTCTGCGCTTCAGCGTAACTTCGGCCTTCCCGCTCACCGCCTCATGAGACTTTGCGAGCAGCAGCAGGCGATAGTGGAGTTTTAGCTGCAGCACGCACAAGTCAGTGGCTCTGCACCAGACTTCCCTCCGATTGATCAGAGTTAAAGGATTTCAAGTGGACTCATTACAATTACAGGGCCTCTAAAGAGTCCTGTATTGTTATTTGTCGTCACTACCTTCCCGCCTCGGGAGTGGGTCATTTGCGTGCCTGCTGCCTTCCTTGCATGTGGTAGCCCTTTCTCAGGGTCCCAACTATAATGTCAACAGCTACTCTGCAGAACAGAGTTGTCTTTTTTTTTATATGCCCCAATATTTTGGGGGCTACCCCAATTAAAAAAAAAAAAATATATATATATATATATATATATATATATATATATATATATAAATAAACAGTGTTGGCTACCTCATCCTCCTCCTCCACTGTCATGGCCACCGCCTCCTCAAGCTATGGGTCACTTAGTATAAACTAGGTACACATTAGCAGAGGCTTGTGAAGGCCTTTTCATTATACATCAGGACTGCAAGAAACGCACTGCAGGCTGCATATGTTTCTTTATTTGTATGTCCCAATATTTTGTGGGCTACCACAATAAAAAAAACAAAAAACATAAACAGTGTTGGCTACCTCGTCCTCCACTGCTGCTTACACCTACACCGCCACGGTCACCGCCTCCTCAACCTATGGGTAACTTAGTTTAAACTATGTACACAATAGCAGAGGCTTGTGAAGGCCTTTTCTCCATGCATCAGGAGTTGAGCTCAGTTTGAACAATGAAAGAGAATACCCTACACTCCAAACCTCTCTCAAATGGATAATTCTGGTGATCCTCCTGACAGCCATGCTTTAGATTTTGATTTATGTTCTTCCAAAGCTAAAATCAAAGATTCCATCTAGTGCTATTTCATGGTTCAGCTGTATTTTTTATTTTTATGTTATTTTAAGTGGTTTCCTATCCACATTTGTTTGCAGGGCACTTGTCTTACTCCAATTTTACTTGCTTTTGCAGCTTGCTAGCTCTTTCATGGAGTTTTTTAGAGGGATTTTTGTGGCCAAAAGTTCGGGTCCCAATTGACTTTAATGGGGTTCAGGGTCAAGTTCGAGCCCGAACCCGGACTTTTTTTCAAAGTTTGGCTGAACCCGCCGGACCCGAACATCCAGATGTCCGCTCAACTCTAGCAGCTAACTAACAAGTGATAGCCAGTTGCCACAGGATTAATCCTTGTGATGTTTGAACATCTGAATCAGTTTTCACAACCAAATTTTGTTGTTAATATTATTATTGCCATTTATATAGCGCCAACTGATTGCATTGCACTTTACAATATTCTGAGAAGGGGGATTTAACTATAAATAGGACAATTACAAGAAATATTACAGGAACAATAGGTTGAAGAGGACCCTGCTCAAACGAGCTTACAGTCTATAGGTTACTGTGGATAAGTGCAAGATAATGCATCTTAGACGTAAAAACCCAAGGGAGTAGTAACCTCAACATCTGAGCAAAGGGATTGAGGGGTAATTATTTCAGATGACTTAATGGTAGGCAGACAATGTAATAGAGCAGCAGGGAATGCTAGCAGATTGCTTGGTTGTATAGGGAGAGGTATTGCGGCTATTCTAAATATAAGATAAAGCCTGGGACTAATGAAAGTATTTAGAAAATTGGGCAGATTAGATGGGCCCGAATGGTTCTTATCTGCCATCACATTCTATGTTTCTATGTTTATTTAAGCACACATCTCACTTGTGCTATTTTGTTGTTATTTGGGATATATTAAATCTGGGAAATGGTTTTGTACTTCACTCACATAGTGTCAATAGTCCACCAATAGTCATTTTGTATACAAGCAAAATGATTTATTTTGACTTTCGTCATCATTCCTTGGGATCTGTGTTGCATAACCAGGGCTGCATATGAATATCCTTTATTTGGCTTTCTCCTTTCGCTCACCTTTTTAACTTGTGCATGTTAAAAATTAAACATTCAGGCTGAGCGGTTGTGCTGAACCTCAGCTCCGGCTTACACCAGTACATTTCGGGGGTAACTCCTCCCCAAAAAAACAGCGCAATTGCTCACTGGAGTGGAGCTATCATGACTGGGACATCCAGGGGAATCCTTAGATACCAAAAACAAGCATATAACCCCCCCGGGAACCCTACATTGTATCCTGAGGCCTAACGGGAATCGTGTAATGGGGAGACAGCCGCTCCCCGTGCTAATGGTCCTGAACATGGATCCCTCCGGGCTCTCACCTCCTACCCACCCCCCCCGGACCGGTCCACAACAAGCGACTGGAGTAACAGATATGAGCAGAACCTACAGCCCGATGAACGGCAACACCAAGGCAACCTAGAACATGGCGCGCCTAAAATTGCGGCAGCAGGAGTACCATGCGACTTAAAATTCATACCTGAGCTGGAAGGTTCATGCAACATCCAGCAGCATCTAGATGCAACCTGTGCCCAATTCTGGCGCAAGTTAAGGAGAAGGATGCAAGCACCTAAGGCAAACCTGCAAACCCTACCATATCAAGGTGAGCCGACCGGGGAGAGCAGAGTGAGAATCTACCGAAAGCACACAAGACTGGAGCCGAATCGGGGGAAGAGGCGCCCTAATCCGGGCAAAGCGACATACCCCAAGCTAACCACCCACACACATGGCCCGCCCAGGCTGAGGGTTGTAAGGAGAGAGCCTCCGAAGCATTGACCACCCTGCAGGAAGAATGCCCGCCGCACGCAGCGAAGGAACACCGACAGCTTCCAATGCACCCAAAATGGGAATGTCTCGAACTCAATAAGCTCTCGAGTCACTGGAGGGGGACCTCTCCCCAAGATTGCCACTCAGAAATCATATGCCAAATCGCCCTGGACGCCGCTTTGCCACGAATCGGCATGGGCTGAAAGAGACTGGTTTGCAGTAACACAACCCTCTTTAAACCTATCCTCTTATGTTTAGACATAGAATTAATATAATCCAGGGAGTGTCTTATGTTACATGATCGTCTTGCACCTAACCTGTATATACAGTCACTAGACAGCATAGATATTAATATGTGTATAAAGAAGCCTGTGATATGACTGTATCAACTAATACCAGAATTGAAAAGCGTGTTACTTGGTTCCTGTATTTTCCCTCTGATGTTTAAGCTCTCTCATATTAGAGATTTAAAGCGACATTAACAGAGATGGCGGCATATGAGTATTTGCTTACCCCTACAAGTTACCAGTTATAAGTTTTGTTCTTCACATAATCCTGCCTGCAAGCTGAGCTATAATACACTGCTAGACCTATCGAGACAAGCTTGATATGCAACCACATAAGCGACTACAGTAACGACCTAGTTAGCATGTAACTTAATGTTTGGTCCTAACTGCACTAACGTAGCTAATCTGGTTTTACATTAAATGTTTGAAATACGCTAACTTCCCAATCTACTTAACCACACTAAGCTAACTCACCACTCACCTATCCAATGTTATGTATAAGCTTGATTAATGTTTTCTTAAATAACTATAAAATGTGCATGTATTCTTGATTACCCCAATGTACCAAGTGATGATATTCAGCGAGGAGAATGCCGTTGGGGTACCCGAAACCTATTGTCATAATTCTATGCACTGCAAAAAAAAAAAAATAATAATTAAAAAACATTGTGTATAACATACAGCATACTCTGTAGTATTCTCATAACGTTTCAATAACTTAAATCAAACATCAAATGCAATGAGACTTGCTCTGTTGTATTAAGCATACAATTAATAATGCCAACTATCACTTGAAAAGAAAAATATGGCACAATAAGTGTGCTTATTACAATGATTTAGTTAAAGAAAATTGGGGGATATATTTCTGTTACAAGAGTGACTTAAAGGACATCGTTCATCAATATAAGAAATCATTAGTGCTCACTTAAGGACACATTAACTTTTAAATTACTTTTAAATTAGCTTTGGAAATCTGTATTTCTAACTATTACTTGAAAATTCAAACCAGATCATTTTGAAGATAAATTGTTTTAAAATTAATATTGCTGGAAAGCTATGCAAGCTATGGAATTCATTTTTGGTATTAAAGAGGTTTTAGTTTGCCAAAATAAACATGATTGATTTAAAACATTTTTCATATTTAACAGATTATTTTGCTCTTTGCCCAAAATTTTGAAAGTGGCAATCTAAACATTTTACTGCTTTTTTGCATATTTATTATATTGCAGTGAAATGTTAGCACATATTGATGTTACACTTTATTAATTGTTTGAGGTGTATGGAAGTAACACTTAAAGGACCACTATAGTGCCAGGAAAACATACTCGTTTTCCTGGCACTGTAGTGCCCTGAGGGTGCCCCCACCCTCAGGGACCCCCTCCCGCCCGGCTCTGGAAGGGGGAAAGGGGTAATAACTTACCTTTTTCCAGCGCTGGGCGGAGAGCTCTCCTCCTCCTCTCCGCCCCGCCGGCTGAATGCGCACGCGCGGCAAGAGCTGCGCGCGCATTCAGCCCGTCGCATAGGAAAGCATTTACAATGCTTTCCTATGGATGCTGGCGTGCTCTCACTGTGATTTTCACAGTGAGAATCACGCAAGCGCCTCTAGTGGCTGTCAATGAGACAGCCACTAGAGGATTAGGGGGAAGGCTTAACCCATTCATAATTATAGCAGTTTCTCCGAAACTGCTATAATTATGAAAAAATGGGTTAACCCTAGAAGGACCTGGCACCCAGACCACTTCATTAAGCTGAAGTGGTCTGGGTGCCTAGAGTGGTCCTTTAATAGTGGATAGCAGCTGAAAAAGATTCTAAGAGTTTTTTTTATTTTAGAAATGCTTATACTTTATATTACATTTCGATGTGTTTAAAGCTTGAGCTTGATTGACTTGCGTATGTTTTCAACCTAGATTAATATGCAAACATTGCAAGACCAGTCATTTATGTTGTTGGCATTTCAAATGTATAACCTTTGTTTTGATAAAATGGGAGAGTGCACCAATGTCGTTCTGGATCCAGCCACACCTACCTCACTGGTACCTTCCCATAGTTAAGTGTTCTTGCATAGCAAGACCACTTAATGTTATCTCACATATATATTATTATTATTATTATTATTATTATTATTATTATTAAGTGTTCTTGCAAGAACACTTATTGTTATCTCACATGTAGGTCTGGGTCTTGTGATTCTCACAATATAAAGCTCTTCACTGTAGGAGTTATAGTTTTTAAGATACAACCGTTTGAAGATGGCAACCACCAAAATACTCTGACCTGTGTCAAGCTGCAGCAGCAAGTGATGTCATAGACAGGGCCTTTTGAACACCTGCTAATGTTTTATAAATGTAT